ATACATACCTACATATACATACATACATACATACATACATACATACATACATACATACATACATACATACATACATACATATACATACATACACACATACATACACATACACATACATATACATACACATACAAACATATACATACTTACATACATATACATACATACAAACATACATACATACACACATACATACCCATACCCATACATATACATACATGCACACATACATACACATACACATATGCACATATCCTTCCGTCAGTGCCCGAATAGAAAACCCAGGATGTAAACACCTGTTTGTGTGCAGTTGTGAGCATGCATGGATCTCTCCAATGGAATGTTTCAAAGTGAATGTGGGGGGACCACAGACGCGACCCSCAAAGCCGGAAGCCGACATAAGGGAGACCAGTGCCAAAAAAGTGAACCAATCCTAGAGTGGTCCGGGGGCATGCTCCCCTGGAATGTTTTTTAAAAATCTCCTCCAAACTARYCATTTTCCAGTGATTTGAAGAGCATTTTACTAAAYTGATTAYCTTAATAAAACAATTCATTATCAGGGTAAAATGGTGAAAGCTAGTCTTTAACCTGAACTGTACCTGAAAATCAGATTAAAATTGCAGTTTGTTCATTTTTACCTGAACGTTACAAAGCATTATGGGTCGGAGTTTTGCTGTTACAGTTCATTATTCATGAAATGGGCCTATCATACAGTACAAATCATCTTTCTATTCACAGGTAAAGAAACAGCCCAATAAATTTAGGCATAAAGCAAGCTAAATAACTTTGTCCTTTCTAGCCTCAGTCTAACAAACACAGTGTGGCCTAAGTTTTAGGAAAACATTTGCCTAAATGAAATTGTAATAGCAATCACTCCTAGCCCAGCTAAAGCAATATGATCATCATCCATCATGTTGGCCTAACTTGAAATATTAATTGGAAGTCCCACAGGGCTAGCAGGTCTACAGTAATGTTAACCAGGAGTAGCTACAGTCCAGAGACAAACATGCAGTATTAACACTAGTTTGATTAAGGAAGTAGCCTATGGCTGCAGCATCTTCATAAAAACAACAATATATTCCTCCATAAAAACCTGGTTTCCTTCTAACATAATGGTCTATCCAACTTTTACTCTTCCTCTCATTATATTACTGAATTCCTTCCAAACAATCCGTACAGCTGTTCATGTTCTTTTAGGGCTGGGTTTATAATTTAATTCAATTATAAATCTTCAATCAATTCTATTTTGATTCAATTTCAATTTGATTCAATGTGTCTTTGAATGATTTAATATCAATTTCCTAATAATAAGTACAGAAATAATTCATTAGAGTCCCTGTGTGTCATTTTCAAATATTTATTTTCTTGCTATTTAAACAGAAATTGCACAGCCACATTAACATTTTAGATAAATACAATATCTGGAAAAAAAAAGGCAGAGCAATAATTCAGTCTTTACAGAGCTCCACAGTTTGTGGATTCATTTTGTGGTTAGGTCATTTTTTAAACTCAACACAAACTGTTCAAACAACTCTGTATAAAATTTAATATAGCCGATTTTCACGTGAGAATCTTTATTCAAGGACTAGGTCCCCAATAAATATTTCAAGTTACTTTCAACATGATGAATAAAGAACTGCGGCAGCTAAACAGCTGTTAGCTCACCTTTGTCGACCGGTTCGGTTCTTTTTTTACCCAAAACACGAAAAATCCTCCCCCTCCCCGACTGTGGTCAGGCTGCAGCCAGATCACCGTTTCTTTGTTTTCCGGCRAATTTATCTGGAGTTTATATTTATCCATGGTGCTCTGCTCCTAAAGTTTTGATTTGACCAACGCTGAACAGCTGATGAGACCCATGTCTGTGATGTGTTCAAGTCCAGAGAAACCTCAGAGTTTTGAGTGTTAACCACACTATATTACTGCGTGACTGGTAAAGCTCTATAAATGGTTCTAGTTTCAAATTTATTCTATATTTTGGTGAATCTAGGGATTGAGAACTAATGTTCCTTACAAAACAGTAATGATACTTGTGCTGAGTTCAATTTTAGGGATGCACCCCTAAAACAGGGCTAGAATCGCCACTGGATGTAAGACCTTTATGTGGTATTCAGACATGTTTTATTTCTTTCTTCAGGTAAAACATGGAAGGCCATGTCCTTGGCTGAGAAGCGTCCCTACATGCAGGAGGCTGAACGACTGAGGGTCCAGCACACCATRGATTACCCAAACTACAAGTACAGGCCTCGCAGGAGGAAGCAGATGAGGAAGAGCTCAAAGCCTCAGGCTGCAGAAACTCCTCCGCTCTGCAGCTCAGGCTTCGGTGTTCCCTGCAACCTCACCTGTCTGCTCCAGAACCAGCAGCAGCCTCACCACAACTCCCTGCCTTTCCCACTTCACAGCAGCTACAGAAACCACTCAGGTTTTCCACCCTCAGCTGCAGCACGCACGGCCCCGAGCAACCCCGGCCTGTACTCAACGCCCTCTGGGCACCAAGCCGGACCTCAGGTGTACTTTGGCTCCCAGTTCGGACACACACAGCAGGGGTTTCCCACTTCTGCAGGGCCGGTCACAGAGGGAGGCGAGTCCAGGGTCTGCGGGCTCCCGCCATGCCCATCAGGGCCCTCGCTGGAGTTCTACTTGGAGCAGGTTCAGCTGGACATGCTGTATGATCTGGACCGCAGCGAGTTTGAACAGTACCTCGGTCCGAACTATTACAAACCTGGGCCAGCAGAGCTCAGCAGCTTCCATCAGCAGAGCAGCCACAGAGGAGGACACTCAGTATCATAAAGCTGCTCACTTTGATGTATTTATTTCAATCCTGTCAGTGGATTTCAGCTGAATGAACGCTACCATCCAGTATTGTTATAAAATATTATATAACCTCATTCCAAGGAGTCAGATTGTGGAATGTTCTGGAAAATGATGTGAAAAGTGTCAAATCAAAGTACAGGTTCAAGAGAATGAAAAAGGTTGGATTGTTGAAAAAATATGAAACTGTATAAGGTCTAAACATTTAATTTGTTGTTCTTGAATAATTTGATGTTCGTGTTTTGGTTTGGTAACTAAAGATTATTGTTGTTTGAATTTATACTTGAGGAAAAATGGGGCAGATATTATAAGATTTTGTTCTTCTCTCTGCTTCCTTTCATTTCGTTGTGTTTGTATTTTTTATTTTTTTGTGTTTGTATTTTTTATTTTTATTGCGCATAAAATTTTGTTTTTTTAATGACATGAATAAAATTTATGAATGAATGAATGAATGAACTGTAATTCAACTTTAATGCCCTAAATAATGTGGTAAAAAAAATCCTCATACTGTTTATGTTGGAATCAAATTTTAAATCAAATGTTATATTTAATCAATAAAATTAAAGACCAAAAAAAGTGAAGTTTCAAAATCATCAAATCTCACATTTCTCAGTGCAACACATTTGAACTTTTGGCTTTGTTTTTGTTATTTTGTTATACCCAACTTGTTGATCAAATTTCATCTATTTTTTTTAAATATGTAGAATTTTACACATTCTTCTAAAACAAATGTATAAGTGGAAACTTTTTCCAAGAAAAGAACATAATATGTGAACACTTAGGAGCAGCAATATGGTGCYTTTGCAAATTTAAACTATTAAAATATAAAAATGTAATCATAATTTATGCCCTAAAATGTCAATGTCAATGTCAAATTTATTTGAATAGAACATTAACAACAAAAGCTGACCAAAGTGCTTCACAGTTCAGTCAAGACATCAAAAAACAAACAAATAATAGATGCAAATACAGAAACACACTATATGAAAAAGCTCTAACTGAACCTCCAAATCTTAAACATAAGCCAAAGAAAATAAATGGGTCTTCAGCAAAGATTTCAAAGCCTCAACAGTCTCTGCTGACCGAATATTAAGAGACAAACTGTTCCACAGCTTTGGAGCAGCTATTGCAAAGGCCCGGTCACCTCTAGATTTCAGTTTGGATCTAGGGACATCTAACAGGAACTGGTTGGTAGACCTGAGTGCTTTGACTGGAGTGCAGATGTTAAGAAGATCACATAAATATGACGGGGCCAGACCATTAAAAACTTTAAAAGCCATCAATAAAATCTTAAAATCAATTCTCAGGTGAACAGGAAGCCAATGGGGAGAAGCCAGGACCGGGGTTTTGTGTTCATTCTTTTTAGTACCTGTTAAAAGACGAGCTGCTGCATTCTGGACAGTCTGTAGGTGATGCAGAGATGATTTATCCAGCAGACAAAGAGTTACAATAGTCCCAACGAGTGGTAARAAAAACATGAATCACCCTTTCAAGGTCTTTAGTGGGGAGATACGATTTCACCTTAGCAATTGGTCTTAATTGGAAAAAACTTGATTTTACAGCTGAATTAATCTGTTTATCCAATTTAAAGGCACTGTTACTTCAGTTTTACTCTCATTTAGGTTCAGAAAATTTAGTTTTAGCCAAGTTTTCATATCATTCAGACAGCTGAAGAGTGGTTCCAATGGAGCATCCCTGTTCAACTTAATGGGCATACAGACCTGGATATCATCAGCAAAGCAATGGAAAGTGATGTTATGCTTTCTGAAAATGGACCCCAAAGGCAACATATGAAGACGGAAAAAGAAGTGGACCTAAAATGGACCCTTGGGGGACCCCACAAGTCAGAGGAGCTGCTGAAGAAGAGCATTCACCAAGGTGAACAGAAAAACTCCTATTAGTTAAATAAGATTCAAACCAAGATAAAACTGTGCCTTTGATACCAACCAGCTGCTCAAGACATGACAAATGATTGATGATACCTTTTAATAAACAACAAAATTGTTTTAAAACTATGTTTAATGTGTTTAATTAAAATTTTCGCAGTAATGGCAGTGATGTTTCTCAAATGAACTCACGTAAACTGTTGGTTGATGTAGAAGAAGAAATTATTTGGCTAAATTAAATTTAATTCTGTTAAACCAGTAATTTTTGTTCTTCCATTATGAGGCCTGAAGAACCTTTAATGCTCCTCCAGCATGTTATAGTTTCTTATAAACAAGCTTGTCGTATTAAGTTTCAAGTTTGCTGTTTATTATAAAATATCAACAAACAATGTTGGAGCGGCCCAGTCTTTGGCAAACTGTTGACACCCTGTTTTAATCTGTGACCACGTCTGTCCCTTGGCTGAGTGAGGGAAGCAGGGTGGGTGCCAAAAGCATAAACTTCCCAACTTCCTGCTTCATTTTGCAACATCTCACAAAGGCTCCAAAAATATGCCCCAAAATCGACATATCTCCAAACTCCTTGGGCTTTGGCTGCCAAATGTTTACCCATTTAGGAGAATGTTGACTTCCTCGTCCCATGTTTTCTGTGTCAGAGGCTAGAGGTTGCACTCTGACCTGGCTGGACGTAAAAATGCACAGTCTCTCAAACGTTATCACGCGCTGCCATGGTCGTCCCACCCAGTGTGAAAAGAAGGAAAAATGCATCATTGTGAGTTTTTACAGTGTTTGCTTCAGATGATCACACAGGCTGATTAATGATGGAGACACTGCAGGAGGTGAACAAAAACGATCTGCAAGCATAAATAAAACAAAGTTATTTAATCTGCAAGATATTTGGGAGAGAAAAAAATGAAAACTGCTCCTACGTGGTTTCATGGTCAGCTCTCCTTGAGCAAAAATCAGACCTCACTTTTTAAGCAGGCTGATGTACAAAAAGTCATATTTATGACAGTAGTTTTTTTTATAAAAGGTGTAATTTCTGTAGATTTTCTGTAATGTTCAAACTAACAGAAAACAGAATTCAGAAAGTCTTAATAAATATTTATCACATTTGATCAAATGTTGTTCTTATTTTGACAGTTCTAAACGTTTTACAAGAGGAATATTGCACCATACTATAAAACTTGAATTTCATATAAACAACTAATGTCATTACGTTTTATGATTTTACTCTTTATCTTCTGTTTTCTCTCGTACAAAGTGTTTAAGATCAGGACAATATCTGTTTAGAAGTAATCATTCTTGTTGCTMTTTATCAAACATCATTCTCTCCTTGGCCCAGTTTTGTCTGTTTGGGTAACACTGTATAAATGCATGTATTTGACACTGCCTCAGGGCACACATTTCATGTACCACTGCCCTGTGTGACATGYTATGTGTCTTGCAATTGCAATAAATCCTGACTGACCTTTCATGGTGTACGTTTTATTCTGGGATCTCGTGTTTCTGTCTAGGTAAAATAAAGATTTCCACGGCAATTTTATTTTAAGGTAAGTAAAAGAGGTCACTGACTCTTGGCCCAAGAAMAAATGTAGGACTTTAAAGGATAAATTATTTTTCCAAGATAAAAGTAGCGATGGCTTTTTGAAAAAAAAATTAAATAAAAAAAGCATGTTTCGCTACCAATCATACTTTTTTCCTGATCGTAACCATGTYGGCTCATTTTTAGAAGTAATCCTATCCAGGAAACTGTTGCTTTACCTCAGAAAAAAAAGGTTTAACAGTGAGACCTGGTGTTTTGATTTCAGTCTTGATCATGTTAGTGGGGGGGATTGTGCAAAAGTGACATGTTTAAGCTTTATATCATGTTATAAAGTCATTTCCTCATCTAAAACATAATCAGAGTGTTGCTTTGACTCATTCATGAGTGTTTGAGAAATCCTTGAATCTCCTGGTAGCCATGCAGAGCTGCCTGAACACTTGCTACAAAGCCTTGCATATTTGCACACACAGTAGCTCTTYCTGCAGCCAAGTTCCCTTCCCACAGAGCACCCCTTCCCTGAAGCATAGTTGTGAAAGCATGCTGAAGTGGGAGTGTTGGAAATGGTAGGAAGTTCTTAAAGATGCAGAGACCAATTGGTGGTTTAGGATGCAAAATCAATATATATA